TCCTCTTGAGGCTGAAAGTTATGTTTCACTTCTGGCTGTACATGACGAAATGAGATATTGTTGAACACAACACTCCTTTCCTTTTTCTTTGTCATTTTCATTTTATTTTTGCTAGCGCGATTGTTTTTAATTCTACTATTCTCAATATTATTAATATAATTAAATAATATTAACTAATTATTCTTACACATCACATCAATTTTTATACGAAATCAATTTCAATTATCTTATTCTAAATATCATTTTAATTAAAATTAAAATCTCACTAACAATTAATTGTATAACTTTTTCAAAATTAGTTCTGGCTAACAAAAATAAAAAATAAAATAAAAAAACTCATTTTGAGTGGAAATACTTGTATTTACCAATACCTTCTGCCATGTTTTTTTTTTCAGAATTATGTAAATGGACAAATAAAAACCGAACAAACAGTGATAAGCTAATTGTTTTTTGCTATCTAAATTTTAAATAATCAGTCAATAACAGCTAGGTTTAAATACAAAAATACCAAGGGGCTCCTCTGTTGTGGAAAAGTTTTATAAAATGAATCCCTCCCTCTGGGCTATTAATTTTCTTTATTTGGAAACGCGAATGAAGACTTGTTGGAGATTTCTTCATATTGTGTGCAGTTATTACTTATTGGGAGCTATCCTTTAATTGAGGGTTATTGGATAAAAAATTGGTCTGTCGTTCCTCAACATAAATTAGATTTTGCATTTAAACGATAGTTAGGAACTGAATAAAACTTGAGAAAAAAATATTTGTCTTTTAATAATTGTTTAGTTAATTTTCAAAAATTTGAGTAAATTATTGGCCACTAATATTTGTTTAATTAATTTTCTAAAACTTGAGAAAAGTCTTTTTTTCCGTATATTTTCTTTTTATTATTTTAATTGATCACAGTTAAATTATAAAAAAGTATCACTATTTACATGTTTATTGTAATTAAACCACAACCATGAACACTATATTCAATGACGGATCTAGAAATTTGACTAAGGGGAGCCCAATTTTAAATCTTATAATGTGCTTATACTTTAAGTCAAAATGCTTATTATATATAAAAATGTATTTAATATAAATATGAATATCGATATGGGTACCATCAAGTTTTTACATACTTAGAATCCATATCGCCGCCAAACTTAAAAAATGAAATTTCATGTATTTATAATTTAAGTTAACCATCTATAGTTTATGGAAAAATAAGTTTTTTTGTTTGAATATTGATTTAAATTGAGCCTTTACAGCACATTGCATAGCATTTTCGTTGATGAGAACTTTGCAAATAAACCCTTTTTTTTAAGAAGAAAATAAATAAATTTAAAACAAATTAAAAAAAAATCAATATTTAAAATTATAACAATCTAACTAAATACTGAGTTTTATAAATTACTAAATCAATTTACAATTAAGAAATAGAAAGAACTAATTATTATTAATATTTCCAAAAATTTATTTAAAAATTTAAAATATAAAGTTTTAGTACTTTTTTTAATAAATAAATAGTATTATTAACTTTAATTAAAGTAGCATAGAAAATAAATTTTAATTATTAATATATTATTATATTTTATACATTTCTATACATATTTTATAGTATTTTCTATATATATATATATATATATATAGGGTTGGGTTCACATGAGAATGGCTATCAGTGAAAGAAATAAGAATACATCACACCCATCGGTTTAAACGATCTAACGGATACAAAAAATTCAGCATTTATTTATTCATTAAGGGTATTTTGAACATTTTATTATCAAATTTGGGACCTGCCAACTAACTACATCCAATAATATACAGCAACGTGGCTTAGTCATCACACTTCTCACACTTTTATCTCTCACACACTGACACACACACATTGACTATTCAACACATACAATAACACACAATTACACACACATTAATTTACACACGCAGGCAGAAAAATACACACACACCCACGCGACACACACAACACACACATCGCCGACAAGAGCAAACAGAGAACGCCGCCGCCGGCCGCCACACACAAAGTCGACCATCGTGTTCCCCGCCGCATCCGCTGCTCCGGCCCGCCGTCGCCGTCGTCGCACCTTAGCCGCTGAACCTGCTGTGAATCTCCTCTGACTTCACCGTCTTCGCCGACCGTCTCAGTTTGTCTCCAGCGACATTCGAACGGCGGCCAACCTTTGATTCCTATCAACACAGAACTCCATCGCTGCCCCTAATCATCTCCGGCGACCTCCATCCGCCGGTCGTCGGGGAGGAAATATAGGTGGAGAACTTCGAATGCATCGTCGGACGCTCCGCCACCTTATGGAGCTCGAACGACGCCATACCAGATGTGTGAGGGGGTGATACGGGCAATATGAGAGCTGAAATTAGATTTTGGGTTTGGGCCTTTTTTTGAGAATTTGATTATGTCAAGGGACCTATTTACAATTTTAACAATTTTAAGTATATTTCAATTTGGCACATGGGTCAAATCTTTAATTATTGAAAGTTAAAAAAAAATTATTTTCATATACTTTGTGATGCATATATATTATAAATAAATTATTAAATAAAAATAATGTAAAAAAATAGTATAAAAATATTTTGTAATAATAAATAAAACATATAATTAAAACAATAAATAAAAATAATTTAATCATTTAAATTAATTCAATGTACACTTATATATATTAAAACTAGTTTTCTAATATACATAAGTTAAGGTATACATCAGTGCACTTTATATAGCGGTGTGTTGCACTTTATAAGATAGCACGTTGCACTTTATCACCGCACTCCACGATTAATGTCTAACCACTCACGCCAAAATATTACGCAATATTAATCTAAAAAATGGATTAAATAATACTTTAATATCAGTTACATCATTTATCCATAAAAAAAAAACACAAATATACTAACGTACCAAAATTTAAGTATTACATTATCTATCAATACATTGCACTTTATACAACAATTCGTTGCACCTTATAACATAAAATGTGCACCGTATAAAACAACACGTTGCACATATAAAAAATACGATAACTATAATATTTTTTTGATTCGGTTAATATTTTTTTGCCATTTTAAAAAATACGGTAAATACATTGCACCTTATAACGAAAATAATCGGACCGACCAAACTGTATGAAAAATATTATTTTTTCAATAAAAAATAAATAAAATTTTGTTAAAAATTTAAAGTATTGCACTATATATATATATATATATATAGAGTTAGGATAAAATGAGAATGGTGCTCTAGGAAAGAAATAAGAATAAATCTGGTTCATTGGATACACCATATCAATGGTTAAGATGAAGTCAAAATATGGTCATTCGTTAATGGCAATGTGGTAATTATTTGATCATAGTGGGTCAAATATGTGCATTTGACCAATAAGTAAGGGTATGTTGGTCAATACACATATATTTATGTGGACCCCACTCCAACTACCTACCCTAATTAATTACTATCTTCACCCACTCACACACACTAACACTCAGCACATACCCTGCGCCCACACACACATACAAAAACTCCGGCTGCCGCCTATCCACACCACATCAGCCGCCGAATTCGTCAGGCGCCGCCAGTCCAACGCTTCAATCGGCCGAACCATGTCCTACCAGCCTCCTCGACGGCGATGCTAGCTTTTTCTCCCGCCGTCGAGTTGCAATCACAGCATCGCCGCCGTCTTGTTGCATCAACCACGTCGCCGCCGCCCGTTGCAGCAACTGCGTCGCCGCTGCCTCGTTGCAGTCACCGCGTCGCCTCCGCCTCGTTGCAGCCATCGATCTCAATTTTCGGTCCCGCTCTAAACTCAGTCAACGAGAGAAGGTCGCCAACTCCGGTGAGCCTTCAATGCCCCTGCCTCGAGTCTCCGATATCGCGTCACCATCGTCGTCCTTCCCGTCACCCACACAAAATCGGCTACCCTCTGAGGATTAACAACCGACTTATTTTTTCTGTTTTTTTTTTCTTTGTGATGAAGTCGCCGGGCTGATACCGGCGGGATGTGGCGGCGTTGGGTGTTTGGCTAAGAAGACGACGACGGGTGATCATATCGGAGGTGTCTGGATGGGTGGACGGTGGGTGGACAGAGATGGACGATGGGTGTATTTGATTTGGAATTGTGGGGTCAATTATTGGAAATTTGATATATTATATGGGCTCAATTGTAATTTTTGAGTTTTAGTTAATTTCAATTGGACACTTGAGGCAAATCTATAATATCCTAAAAGTTTAATTAATGCAAATGTTACCTAAATTGCACATAATTATGTAATAAAGTGCACATTAAAAATACCACCATATATATATATTGTGCAGTTCGATTCTCATTAATGTGCTATTTGTTTAATAATATTGTGCACCTGCACCACAAACATTTTTTATTAATTTGTTACAAAATAAACTAAAGTTTAATCAAAATATTTGGTTTATTTGATCTGTTAGCCAATTACTTTTTATAGTGCAATATGACGATCGGTAACGTGCAATTTGTCTACACAAAAGTGCACTCGAAGTGCAAATATTTTTTATAACAATATATTTAGTATTTACAATTTTCATTTTATATTATTAGTTGTTCAAACTAAATAATATATAAAGGTAAAATATAAATATAATATTTTTATAGTTTGGTCGGTTGTGTGGTTGTTGTTTTTGTTATAATAATAATAATAATAATAATAATAATAATAATAATAATAATAATAATAATTATTATTATTATTATTATTATTATTATTATTAAAGCCAAAAATTAATATATTGTTATAAAAATCCAAAACCCGACCGA